CATTTCGCTGCATAAAGTTGTTGATTTTGTGAGCAGATATGCCCACAGTTGATCAGATCGAATCTGATTTTCTTTTTCATGAATTTCAATTGTTGGTTTATGAAAAAGATCTTCTTCATCCTGTGATTCATTATTTTGATCATTGATTATATCTTCACTGAAATTATGAGCATCATCACCGATATATTTTCGAATTTGATCACTCAATGGTTCACGATATGAATTGACTTCTTTGAATGTGGATTGTAAAATATTCAATTCATTGAATAATTTATCATGATCAACTTCCAACTTGAGAAAAACGACACACTCTTCAATTTGATGAAATTTTATTTGATCGATTTCACGTATGCCTAGAAAAATGAAGCTGTTCTCTTATCTAATTATCACAATAAAACATACCAAAAACTGCAGTTAATTCAGCCAATTCGGATTGTTTATCATAATATTTCTCAATATATTTAATTACACTAGACACATAATCGATAAATGATTGATTCAGCTTTTTTCTATCTGAATCGGGCAATGAATTCAATAGACTTTTCGTTTGATAACCAAAATAATTTTGTTTCAATCGGTCATTAAGTTTGCTAAGAAGACTAGTGATGATTCTACTCAAATCAACAATAGAAACGTAGTATCGTTGCAATTCCAAGCTCTTTTTCTGTAAATCAAACAAAACATTGTGCAAAAAATACACTGTACATTTGGCTTCAGTAGAAGTAAAAAACATTGAAATTATTGGTGGACATGGAAAAGCATCTTCGTCACCCAAATCCAAAAAATAAGCAGATAATGGATCAAATACTTTGAGTAATCGTCCAATAGACGGATATAGACTAAGCCAACGAATATTGATGTGTTTCAATAATAACTGAATATAAAAAACATTGATGACTATTAATAATATGATATATGCTTTACTAAATGATCTTGCTCGACAAAATCAAAGTACTCTTTGAGAGTTTCTACTCGTTTTGTTGAAGAAGAAAAGTGACCATAGAGTTTTGACAAAATTGATTCAACATCAATGACCAAGTGTATATGTGAAGTTTTAACTGCATTATTTAGGACATGTGAAAAACAATTTCCTAGAAGAAAACATTATTATTAGGGACATGTGTATTTTTCTTCAATAGCAAAACACCTTTCTTTAGATGTGGAATATCAGATTTCAACAAAGAAAAAACAGAATGAATTCGTCCATAATTAACGTTTGTATTATCAGCACCAATTGATGTCATATTCTGAATATCAATATTATTCATTTGCAATACTTCTCGAAGTGAAGCAACAATATGATCAGCTGTTTCATTAACTAGTTCAATTACTTCAATCACTGATCGTTCGATACCACGAACTGTGAAGTAATTTACAACAAATGGAAACATTTTCTTGTGACCTTTGTTAGATGCATCGAATGATAAAGAATAAAAACCGGATTTATTAATCATTTCTGTAATTTGAGAAGTCATAAATGGAGCTAAAAAAAAGATCGTAAAAAAATAAGAAATATTAATAAGAAATATTCATCGAACGATCTTTACCCTTCTTCTCTAATTGGTCAGTATACTTCTGCTTTAGAAAAGAATTATTACTCACCTAAAACATTAGCAGCAATTTCACGAGCTTTAGTTCGTCCACATGTGAGATTTTTTCCAATAGTTGAATCTTGAAACAATTTCTTCGAGACATCAGCAGTGCATGCCTGACTCAAATAGCTATGTCCATGACGTATTCCGTGATAAACTAATGTGATTTCAGCAGCAACCAACTTTGTCAATTCAGTCGAGTGAGGAATAAAATCAAACATTGAATGTGCTAAAAGACAATAGATCAACATAATCAGTATTCTTTTGAATTAAGACCAAACGAAATTACATTTGTGTTTAGCTTCTGCTGCTACTAGACGCTTGTGATTCGCTTGTTCAAGATGACGATCGATCAAATACTTCCCACCATTAGCAATTGAAAAATTCGATTTACACACAGAACAATGTGCAAGTGATGAATCTGTTCGACACTTGTAAAAATGATGCATATTTCGAAATTTTAATCCATTCTTTGTTGAACTTGCAATATCTTTTTGATTTTGATGAAGAATTCAATGACTTTCTTTCTATATTGAAAGATAATCTAGACATAGAACTTGATGTTTCTTTTGGTGTTATTGATTTTTCAAATTCGAGTGTCATGGAATCATTCTCTTCCTCAATGACTTCAATATCTAGTTCAATAGAATTATCGTTGTTCATTTGCTGCATAACTAAAATCTACAATAATTCCTCGGTATTTTGCAATAAATATATATGAATTCTTTTAATAGAAAACTATAATCGATTAGAAACACGATTTAATTTCGATCGTGAGATTCAAATTGCAAAAGAGAAGGAAACACCAATGCTAAGAATAACAAAGTCCTGTATTGGTCATGAATCAGCCAATGTAATTGACTCTTCGTATCTCTACTATTTAAATGAAGATGTCAACTACAGTCAATAAGTTTATCGATTTTAACAAAATATGATTTTAATCTTATGCAAAAGGAAATTGTCCAAATGGGGTACAAATTTTGTACCTCTGAGGTACAAATCTTTTTGAGGTACAAAACGTTAAAATGGGGTACTGTACCCCGAAATGGGGTACAGATGGCAGCCCTGGTGTGGCCGGGGATGCAGACGTTATCTTACGTTCACTAACTAAGACCCACATCCAAAACATAATTCGAATGTTAGTAAAAAATTCAACTT